CCAACAAGATTCGGCGCCAGCTCATAGAGCGAAGAGCACACAAGACTGGCTGGCGGCGCGTGAAATCGACTTCATCCGGCACGAAGACTGGCCCTCCTCCAGTCCAGATTTGAATCCGTTAGATTACAAGATATGGCAACAATTGGAGGAAAAGGCGTGCTCAAAGCCTCATCCCAATTTGGAGTCACTCAAGACATCCTTGATTAAGGCAGCCGCCGATATTGACATGGACCTCGTTCATGCTGCGATTGACGACTGGCCGCGCAGATTGAAGGCCTGTATTCAAAATCACGGAGGTCATTTTGAATAAACTTTAGTGTCATAAGAATCTATGTTTTGTTAAGTTCATTTTGGTATATAAATGGTTACATAATGAATAAATTTGTTTCAATTATTTTATATTAAACATGTGACAGAATTTATGACCTGACTAGGTATATTCTTTTTGCAATTCTTGCATTACAACACGGTGATTACACATAACTTGAAATAATTTGAAACATTTCAATTGTCTCGTGTTATTTCTCTATTATTATACAAAGATGTATAGAAGTTATCTTGGTAAATTAGTACCTACTAAAATGATATATGCAAACGTAGGAGATTCTCTAAAAAATCGTCATCAATAATTGCATCTTCATCTTCAGACGGAATAGCAGCTTCAAATAGCATCATATGATGCTGTGTTTCGTATGCTGAGAGACGAAAAGCGAAGACGCTTTTATTAGCTTCGCGTGTATCTATCTATCTATCTATCTATATTATAACGGAATCATATAAAGTAATTTTCACCATTGGCTTGTACTCGTATCAAGAAGCGATGACAATATAATAATTTAATAACTTTATTCTAGTATCCTGATAAGGATCACCAGGATAAAATAAAATAATTATCAGAATCATCACAGCCCACAGCAGGAACATCAATGCGGTTGTTTTTTTTTAAACTTTTATATTATTACTGGTAACGAGCATACATTTTGATTTTTAACTGAGGACAGATGTGAATGTTAAGTGTACGCATTTGTCACCCTTACTACCTACTCGCGTATTCGAATGCAATACTGTGTAAAAATTAGAACTTTCAACTTTCTTGTAAACAAACAAACATGTTTTCAATTGAATGCATGTATAAACTATAAGTGTATGTATATAATATGTATATGTATGTCTATTCTTATATCACGCTTGATACCCAAAACTGCTTGATGATTTTAAATTAAAGGGTGTCTATATATACGTCTTATTTTTTATTCATTAATATTTTTAGCTTGGATGCTAGTCCTTTTAGCCATGTCTTCATTTATCTCAGTATCATGTGATAATAATTCTTTATAGTACCTACATTGCTTCACAGTATGTTGATACGTGACATTGCGTAGTTTTTGAGAGATTTTGACGGCAACTTGAAACAGCAGACAGTTGACAATAGTATCTCAAGCCGCCTAGCAGACAGACACCTTATTTTGAAATTCACATCACCATCTGAGCACTTGTTTCATCGTTACCACTAATAGTTTACATGCGCAGACATTGAATACACAAAATCGCATCACTTTTACATATCAAAATCTACTTTAAGCCATTCACACTATGAGGCAATCTTTGTGGGAGGCCTATGTTCAACAGTGGTCTTATAGGCTGTAACGGTAACGATAATAAAAATGGAGACCCCAGACACCTCAAGCATTCCATCTTATAGAAAATGATGAAATTTCACCAATACCAACATAATAAAAAAAATTAATAAAAATATATGTATAAAATAATAATATAAAAATTAAAAAAGATTAGTAAGTACTCCTAATGTAGGTCAAATTTTGTATATTTTCTGGAATTTTGTTGTGGTAGGTACTTACTAATCTTTTTTTTTGTTGCAATAATGTAATTTATAACAATTTTTTTGTTTTTTATATTATAGAATATTATAGCGGATGGCAAGTGGATGCTTGTGACCGTGGCCCTTAAATGCCTATATGTATCTTTTTATTTTATTAAGAAATAAAATGTAGATGTATCGTCATTGTCACCACTGAGGACTAACATGGAATGCCTCGTTACCTGTAAAAAGAGTATCTGGTTCTCCGCACTCTCCATACGAAATATTAGCATTCAGCTACTATTTTACGCTGGTATTCTGTGATAGCGTGGTCTGTTAGCACGAACGGATCCGACCCGTTCGTGCTACAACCATAATATAGCAGCAGTGTACCTCTACCACGTATAAATCAACAATCAACAATAATCTTCGCCACAATAATCATACCATTGAATTATTAGGTGCATTAAGTTCTGAAACGTCGGGTCTTACTGAACGATTAAAACTCTTTAGTATATCGCGTGCGTTGATAGCAATAGAACTCGGGCGGGTCCCACTGAGGCTGCGGCGTGTGGCAATACTCGGCCGAGATGCGACGAGATTCGGCCGCGCTATCGCCCGCCGGAGTAATTTATTGGCTTGCTGCAATGTCGCCGAGCGGCCACACGGTGACATAGATTAGGTGTGCGCAGAGGATGCGGGCTGCGTTTTATACTTATTTATCTTTGACGTGAACACGTCTCTATATTTGCTTTTATAGTGGGAGGCAATTCAAAAAATTGATGATGATGAACAAAATCGGGGGATACAGTTTGGTGTTGCATCTACATATCTATCTACATCCAAAATTTAATTATGCCACGCGGTAAAGGATAAACGAATTCATTAATGTGATGCACCGTGAGCGGCGAAGGGTGGGGACATATTGAGTTTGTTTCGTTAAGTACATGTATTCACGTAAAACAAGCGGCCGTGTCCACGACTCAGCCATAATTCGATTTATTCAGTTAAACTTGTGGTATTGTCGTGCTTTCTTTACGTTAACCATCTATGTACTGACCGAAAAATTTTTTTTTTTTATTTGCTTATTTCGTGTGAATACATTAGCGAGCTCGTCATCATTATCATATCTCCTCGCTTTATTCGTTTATACATAAATATATAATATTATATAGTTACAGCCAATATATGTCTTACTGCTTGGTACAGGCCACCTATATTTATTGGGAGGGTTTTGTGGCATGGAAATATCTGCTGCACTATTGCAATGCGTGTCGATATTTTTGATCTTAATGTTATCTTCGAAATATATTCTCTCACGATGTTTTTTGTTTTTATTTAAAATATCAGGTAGCAATTTCATTGGGTCTGACTCGGAATCAGAACGAATCATGGTTGTGTTCTCAGCCCCTGAGCTACTACAGCTCAAGTATATGTATAAGGCGAGAAACGTTTTATTGTAGACTTGTATTGGTTAACTAAAAGCATAATTTTAAGAAATAATGTTATTATTTTATCTAAAAGCAAATAAACAAACATACTGCAAAAATATGCAAATCATATTTATAGAATGCGTTAAACGAATGAGGAAGTTGTTAATGATTCGTAATACATAATTTCATTACATAGATATTTAAAACTGAACGTAGGTACATCCTTAGACACGGTAATTATCTCTTCGATAATTATGAAAATAATTAATTAATACAGTCGTGAAATTTAAGTTAAAAGTATCATAAGCAATATTAAATATTGTCTCTGAGATGTTGCTAATGCGAGTACATTTAAGTTTTGTAATCGTGTCGCGTCTTCGCTACCGGGTGTGTGTCGGGTGGCGCCGCACGCACACAGCCGCGCGCACCTGACGCCGCCGGTGGCGCCAGCCATCCCCGCCTCCCGCGCACTTCCCTTCCACTCCACCGTAGTATTGCCATAACATGAAGTTAGTTCGACAATTTGGCAAATTTTTGATGATATCTCCTTCAAATTGTCTTTCATTTGTAATCAATATTAAAATGCGTACTCTGTGTTTCAATAATTTTTTGCTAATTAAGTGTATAGGTAATGTTCTCTATTTAACTTCATTTTCGTGGTAAGGTATCTCTTTTCGTTAGAAACAGTTTGTTATTGGAAACTTGTAAATTTTTTAAATATTCATATTGAAAAGATAATTTGGGGCTTAATTTATCTATAGGAATGTTATCAAATAGGGTTAACATATTTTGTGTTGGAACTTATTGTTAGTTAAAGTATTATTTAAGTAAAATATATTATATAAATAATTTTATTTCATTAACAACAAGTAGAGAATCATTGATTAAACTAACGTAGGTCTTATTATTATTTTGGTTATAGCGATCATCCTAATGTAATAAAATTGACTATTTATTCTGCAAACTCTGGTACCCACATAAATTAATTTAATAAACACGGAATCAATTTAAACATAAGCGAATTCGCGTCACGTGAATGGTATTGCGTACCATTTTACAAAAGCCATTTCTGACTGTTATTTTGATATAGAATTATTTATTTTAAGTAATACAGGAATTTATACAATATTGTTAATGAATATAAAAAATTATTTTGACTGAACAACAATTCAAAGTAATGCCAACAAGAAATGAAACAGGAGATGATCAGCAGCATCTTCATAAATTCATGATAACAACTCAAAATAATAAAAAAAACTGCTGTTGCCAACCCGCTTGCCAAGCGTAGCAACTATGCCAAAATATTAGGAAGGCCTATGTTCAGCAGTGGACTTTTATAGGATGTAATGGATTAATGGATGGCAAACAATATCTGGTAGCACCTTTCAGTTAAGATTCAGTGGTATAAATTAAGTCAATACTTTCGTACTACTTGCAGTCAATTAGTGGTTTATAAAAACAACAATTCAAATTTACGACTTTATACTGTATGTGTGCATCATGGGTGACCGATACGAATATGCAGCACACACGGGGCAATTTCCATAAACTCAACCAAAAAAAAAAAGAACAAAGCATCGTCGGGGTAAACGGTGCGTGCAGGTGTCGCTCCGGCGGCGGCCGTCCGCCGAGCGCTGTCACGCTGTCAGTCGAGAGCCCGCACGCGGCTAGTGATGACGTGCCGGCAGTACGCTAGTGCCGCGCGGCGCAGGCGACCGCGCGCCTCGTGACGCCGTCGGCGGCATGTGATGTTCCGGAGACGCGCGCTGCGGCGGCGGCTGGCGGCGGCCGGCGCCCCCTCGGTCCCCAACGACCAGCTGCGAAGGCTCGCCCGCGCCCTGGACCTCGGCCCCGAGGCCTCCACCTGCATCCCCGGCCCGGACCTCCGCCTGCCGGCCTCCCGCGCCTTCCGCTTCCCAGACCTTCGCGACCTCGCCGAGCTTCGCCGCCTCCCGCTGTGCACCGACCAGCAGTGCTGCAACCCGTACCACTTCAGCCGCCTCTGCAAACCCGGTACGTGACGCGGCCATTGACCCGTGCAACAAGTGTACCAAACGTGTGCTAACGCAGTGCGTGCGGTTGGTGTGTTCCGAACGGAATGTGATCTTGTTTACGCTCTGCGAAGACGTGGCTGATCAGTTACAGCTTGAGGAATCCGAAATATGTGAACAGTTTCAATTGATCGATTGTGCTCGCATGAATGTTGAATACACCGTTGTAAATATACAGCGGTCATGTCCGTCACGTTTATAGTATTAGTTTCTTTAGAAAGTTAGAAATTAGTGCTCGGTAAAGCGTCGAATTCATGTTGTGTGTGATGAAATCTTATCACCTACTTGTACGTTTTATCTTGACGTGTGTAATTAGGATTTGTTGGTTGCAAAAGGTTTGCACACACTGTTGAAGAATTCGTTGTATTTTTCCATGTACCGTGTTCACGTGCCTGCCGGAGTTGCATCAATATCAGTGCAAATTGCTATCGTATCGATATATTTATCGCCACTGTTTGCTTCTGTATCTATCTGTCGTTACGTTGCACGTGACGTCAACTGTCCATTTCTACCTAAACGCCGCGTAGGTATAAATTGCACGTTCAAAACCGCGTAATGTACTCCATCCCCTATATTGTAAACATTGGCGCTATGCGATCTATTATTAGCTGCTGACATCAGCGATCGTTTTAGTTCGCTACCGAAATTTCTAAGGCCAATTCAACCGCCTCTTCGTCAGTGTAATGTGCGAACTACGATAAAAATCGGCGACTAGTTATGACTTTTGGTTAGTGATATCGTTTGTTAGGATTTGTCCTGACATTTCAGTACCTTTTCGCTCAATATTCTATTGGGTCAAAAGAAAAAAGTTTTGGAAATGTGCTTTTTTGATTTTACAATAAAATACAATAGGTTTTTGCGTGTGAGGGGTGGAATTTAGGAGATGGATTGAGAGTGCACAAAAGCAATAAATTTGTTTTTCACACTTGTTAAATTTGTAACAAAATCTCGGGACTTCTCCATGGAAATCATGTTATTTGTTAGTACATTTCAATTTTCCATTTGGTAACCCTATTAGGTAGAGTATCGTGTCGAGACGTGACTGTAAAGGAGTATTTATCACATTTACTGCGTCGGCGCAGGCAAGACGTGTGGCTAATCTGTCGCGCGAGGGTCACCGATAACTAGACATGTAGACAAGGTCACGACGTTGGCCGTTGGCGCCACAAAGCCGAGACACTCGGCGCGCGCAGCCCGTTAACTTCAATTCGCCAGGCAATGGCGCTACCAGCCTTTGTCCATATTCTTTTTTATAGCATAAGATTGACAAGCCCACAGCTCACCATGGTAAGTGGCTGCTGTGGCCCATAGATACATTTATCCACAATTAAGAATCAAAATTCAAGATGCGTTGTCACTCCTGAGGAGTGAGATGGAATGCCTGTGATGTTTAACGCATTTCGAGCGCCGCGCCACGACCTTTGTCATGTCTGTCCGACATTTCTGTGTAAACGCTATCAATTTAGCTTCCTGTTAAAAAGCGTTCACTATCATTAGCAGCGATACTTAAAGCAGGCTTGCCCGTGAACGTCCCGTTGCAACTACGTCGACTTCCTCGTCGCATAATTCAATTTAATAGTGTGACTGCTCGGCAATGACGTATTATATATAGACACGTCATGAACGAACATCGCGGCGCTTAAAAACGGCGAAAATACTAGAACTACTTATACGCGTGAAGAAAGAGAAAGATAATATGACACCGTACGGCGGGATGCCACTTGCTAGAGGGAGACAAATAACATCTTCAGTTCCGTTGGTCGAGCGCATGAGTGACGTAGCTATCAGAGGCATATGGGGAAAAAAGGACATTCGATTTTCTAGTTTATAAAATAGTTGATATACCATATAACGTATTACCTACTTTACGAATAAAGTAATAAAAATATTAATGTTTAAAATATGAATGCTGTATTCTGCAACAGTAATTAATTAATTATTGTATTATTGTAATTTACTAAATTATAATAACTGCGTGTGCGTGTAACTTGCGTTTTTCTAAGGAAAGTTTACTAATCTTTTTCTTCAAAATAGCTTTCCTTGGCGTTTCAAAAATTGAACCTTCTTCTGACACTTGAACATGTTCCAAACTTGTTGGTGATGAAATAATATTTTGTTCTTCTTGCTAAAAAAAAAGTATAAAAAATCCGGTTATTTCATGAAAACCAATACTTTGAAATAATGTGTTTAAAAATGACGTATAATTTTACCATAATAATAGGAACTACAGTCTTTTTTATTCTTCGATAATTTTTCTTCGTCACATATATATCGCTAGCTGAGAAATGCTTTGAGCAAACTTTAGTATAGGGCGTTGATAGCCAATCGTTTTCACGTCTTTGAACCCTTATTATGTTAAGCCACTTTTCTTTTAGTAGCCCATCTCTAGGCAATCTAAAATAAAAAGGAAAACGATAATTAATATTCATGACATAACAAGTACATATTATATTCAAACAATATTATAAATTCTATCAAAAAAAAACACTAGTGTAATAGTATCCCAACCTCCCCTAACGGCACGTGACTACTAGCTGCATGCGCCGGCCGCCATTAGACGGACGGCGTCGTCGAATAAAATGAAATGAAAATAGGTAGTTTTGTGAACTTACGCATGAAATGATACATTTTTGTCTTTAACTTTTGGGGTATAATTTGTACATCGTCTGAAAACACACGACGGCATGTTTTCTTTATGTTTTGCACAGGTTTACACACACTAATCACGATATAATAAATTAAAAACAAACGTAGCGTCGCGCGACAGGTTGGTGCATGACTAAGCGCGATGTGGCCAATTGGCTTCATTTCATGTTGCCATTTTAGAGTGCGGACAACGTATCTATAAGTTTATACATCATTGCTGCTCGGTACCTATTTCTCGTTTTCATTTTATAACACTCGACGGATCTGTTACAACTTTAAAATCTACCTATCTATCATCGACAATTCAATTCTCAAAAAGAGTTATTTTCTATTCAAATATGAGTTTCTTTTAAGTATCAACATTTATGTGTATTACTGATTTTTTGGGTTCCGTAGTTTAAAAGAAAAAACGGCACTCTTATATCACTTTGTTGTCCGTCTGTCACCAGACTGTATCAACCTATTCGCCTAACTATTACCAGTAGATGTATCAAGTTAAAATTATTATCAAATGCTTAGATCTACGGCCATTTGTAGATGTCACAAGAAAGATACGGCGATTTAAATACGTCATATGATATTTTAATTCTCGCTAGCTCATCAAAACCTATGGGGTACTTCCTATTGACCTAGAATCATGAAATTAGGCAAGAAGCTCGGTCTCACGGCATTTTATTGCATTTACTAGTAGTTATGTCACGTAATTAACTTACGTTGAAAAATAAATTTTCCCGCCAATGTCTCTTTACACTAGAGCAGTGCTTATATGAAATATTAAATTTATGAATTTTAGTAAATTAATTATTATGGTGAAAGCAGGCACATACCTAATTGTTAACACATTTATACATACATATAACTTTTACAGCATATCGAAAGTCCACTGCTCAATATAGGCCTTCCCCATACTACCCAGATTACCTTATAGGGAGGATATTTGCCATAGTTGCCACACTTCACAGGCGTTAAGTAACGCAGTTTTTATTTTATGTAGCGCTACCGTAAGATGCAGCTTCTCTCTGCTGCCTCTTTCGACACCCATGTTTAGGATGTTATAGGGTAGTGGTTATACACCGCCAATACACGGTTATTATACCTATAGAAATTAGTATTATCATTGTTAAATTAAGGCATACGTCGGTATCGAAAACACAACAGTCGTTGAGAATCGATTCCCGGGATATATGAACTATCTACATATATACAATATTAACTTTATACAGAACCCTCAAGACGCAAGACCTTTCTCGCACTTGTTAGGTCTTTTTCTGCCGACTTCCAAAAAGGAGGCGGTACTCAATTCGACTGTATGTTTTTTTATGTGTGTTACCTCATAACTTTTTACTGGGTGGTGGTGATTTCGATGATTCTTTTTTTATTTTAAAGCTGGTACTGCTCGTGTGGTCCCATATGAATTTGATCAAGGTCAGACCTATAGTTTTAAAATTATTCTGAATAACTTATATTGAAGTCGGCTGTACTAAATTTTTATTTTTAAATTATTTATTTATAATTACAATATTATCAATTTCTTCTTAACCACGTTTCTATTAATTCTCGTCTGTCTGTTCGGGTCTAATTTAGTAATTGATTTTAAAGTAAACTAAGTAAAGACCACGTTTTCACAGAGTAAAATAGCGGCTTAACGTTGCTGTGTTTCGTATGGTGAGTGTAGAGAACCGGAGACCATTTTTACTAGAAACGAGGCATTTCATCTTAGCTCTCACGGGTAACAAAGTATCTGCGTTTTGATTCTTAGTTGAGGAGAAATGTACATTTCTATGGGCCGCAGCTTCTACTTACAATCAGGTGGACAGTTTTCTAGTTTGTCACCGTTTATAAAAAATCAAAGATTTATATTGGAAGTCTGTAGACAATAATTTAGAATTTAAAATTTTGTATAGCTGACTTCAATATAAATTATTAAGAATAACTCAAAAACTAGTGGTCTGATCTTAACCAAATTCATATGGGACCACATGTGAAGCACCAGCTTTCAAATAAAAAACGAATCATCTCAATCGGTTCACCCAGTAAAAAGTTATCAGGTAACACACTTAAAAAAAACATACAGTCGAATTGAGTACCGGCTCCTTTTTGGAAGTCGACAGAAAAGAAGATTTTTTGAAAATCAAATTTTTCATTCCTTTTAAAACAGATAAGTTATGTACTTGCGTATATTTTCATTACTCCATGCCTTTTCAACAGACTTCAAAAAATGTATGTTACCATAGAACTTTTCTCTAGGTAAACCGATTTTGATGATTCTTTTTTTTATTTGAAAGCTTACGCTTCCCATGAGGTCTCATATATTTG